TGTAATGTAGCTCCCCTTTAAGATTATTGTTCCTCCCAAAGGAGCTTTTCTGTTTTTTTGGTGCTTATATTCTCACTGAAGCCTACATTTGTTCATTTCTTTGTAAAATACGCACCTGTTTCAAAATCAGTTTAACATGACAAGTTTACTTTACCTAGGCCACCCCTCTAATCAGGCAAAGTTCAAAATTTGATCCTGTTCATTTTCTGTTGCAGATTCTCTGGTACTACTGAAAGACCTGGAAGCAACAGTGATGCTATCACTGAACAACTCTTTGCTTGGGAAGTACCAGCTACAATATTGCCCTTCACACTACTACAGAGGCACCATTTGATCCATAAACTTCAGCATGGGTTCAGCATTGACTTTTTTTTCCTCCCCTCTCCAAACTGCATCCTGTTTATTACCAAAAGAAAACCCCCTTTAAAACTCACTTTGGTTTTCCCAGACCATGCTTCTGAGCCCAGGGTGGCCTCCTCAATTCTTCAAAAGCTTGTTACACAACCTGACATGGCTGAGCGTTCCTTAAACTGACCTCTTTTTATCAGCTCACATTCTCCAGATAGTGGGGATACTGAAAGTCTTTTTTATGCAGCTTATGGCCTTTCTGCTCCCTCCTTGTAAGTCTTCCTAAAGACTAAACTTGACCTTTTCTCTTCTCTGTTTGTCCAGAAAACACGGTTATTTATGCTGCTAGCACTGAACTACTCAAAACCTTCTTCCATCTCCAGACAGTAACCTACAGACAGCACCTACACTTTGAGCCATTAAGCAATAACCTTTCTCCATTTGCTTCTCTGCTCTTCCCAGAAGAATCAAAAACCAAATACTTAAAAGAACAGCTTTCGAAACAGTTTTATAAGTTTGGGTGTTATGTGTTCTGCTTTACACTCTAGTAGCCCCAAGCAGCAATTTACCAGTTCCAGCACAGTAAACATGCTCAGCAAGAGCTCCTGGACCGGTAGCTACAAACATATACTTGAAACAAAGCAAAAAGAGAGACGCCACTGAATTAAAGTATATTAAAAAATGAACACACCATTCATCAGTTCACCAAATTTAAGACACAGCTCAGCAGCCCAGCCTTTGGTCCTTTATTACCAACCTGCTTTGGAGTTAAGAGCAGATTTGTGTCGCTCCCTTGTATTACTGCTACCTTCACTCTTTTAATGCTCAGAAAGAGACCTGGGGCTCACACAACTAGTTCAATTCCCTCAACGTCTTCTATTTTCCAAACATACTGAGAGGTTACATTTTTAGCGTCCTCATTCTCCTACACAGTAAAAGACTCCACAACAATGTGTATTTATATCACCCTTTTTATTTTTTCAGCCAGAAATACAATTTCATATTTCAATAAATAGTGGTGTTTATCTTTAAACAAAGCCCCCTTCTCTTTGGCATTTGACCATTCTCTGTTTTTGAAATTTAAAGCCTATATAGGAAAAAAGTTGACATTAGAGCTTGCTGTTCAATACATTAAATTTACAGAGGTGCGGTTAACTTTTAAAAATACACATCAGTTGTTGAAGAGACTCTAATAAATCTAAAACATTAACCAAAACAGTAAAATTCACACTACTGGGCTCTTATTTACTGCCTTCAGTTACAACTGTGGAGTAAGTGAAAGAATGAAGAGATCTCTTGGTTTCCCACAACACATGCACTAACCAGGGCTTCCTGTTCATTCTCAAAGAGCAACAAAAAACACCCCAGTTGTGCCAGGAACAACCCATCAAGTATGTTATGTTTCAAAGCAACGTGATCTTCATTATTCTTAAACTTATAGAGAGGTCACCAACCAAAACTAAGCTGCACACTGCTTCAGTAATAAATTGAACCTAAAAAAAGTCTAAAAACTATTTTTTTTCATTTTTAAACATAAGTTATTAACATGTTTTAAATATACCTCAGAATGCAACTGGCAAAATTGCATTTGATGTCATGTTTGGAAGAAAATGTCTTAAGCGAGAAGTTAAACCAGTGTATTCAATCTACTCTGCTGAAAAAGGCAGTATCAGCTCTTCAAGGATGTCACAGAAACACTTCACTTGCACTGCATCTGAAAGTCTGCCTTCTGAATTGCCACAGAAGTGTGCAGTGCTTCAAATAAACTAAATTTCTTAAGGAATGCTAAAGTTATTTGACACTGTTCATTACTACATGTATTAGAGAAATCATGAATTAAAATTAAAAAACATTATTCACATACTGATGCAGACATTCTAGTGTATTTACTGGCATTTGAAGTGAATCCTTGCTTACCTGTGAAGACAATGTAAAATAAAATAAAATAAAATCACATTAACGAAAAAAAAACCCTCACTCACCCAAAGGTTTTTTTTTTTTTTGTAAATATCCCAAATACCTATTTCCAACAGAGGAGGCAAAGCAATTACTTCCATGCAGATACTAAAAAATAACTTAATAGACTTAAGTAACAAATGAACAAAGGTATATTTTATGAGTGAATTTCCCCTTCACCAGTGCAAGCCCAATTACAGTGTTTGAACTGGATTGTTTAAATAATAAGTGCTCTAATTTAGCCAAGTTCACATTCCTTCCCGTTACGTTAAAAAAAAATAAAAATAAAATAAAATAAAACACAATAAAAATAAAAGAGAAAAGAAAGCATACGAAGCATACGTACAGTGTACTGTAGAACACAGGAAGAAACAAAAAGGTAGCTTGAGCACTTATCCAAGAGCAGTTTCTAACATCAAAGTTTGAATTAGAAGCTGCTTGCTCTGGAAGGATGTATTGCCCTCCAAGCGCTTGGAGCACAACACATTGTCAGAATTCTAGCCAAATAAATTACTTTCTGGTAACATTGAGCTGATACAACCACCTACGATGTGGACAGTCATGTATACGGTACAACAGTGGATTTTTGCAGCAACAGAGAAATAACCAGAAATGGATTCTAAATTCCGAAGCAGAGTTCATGTATTATTTCTTGCAAACATACGGTCCCCTCTAAGGGTGAGGTGTTGGAGCTGGTATTGTAGCACTTCTGTGTCAGCAGGTTCCTTGATGCTCATTTTGTCTAAATTGAGGTAGTCCAGGGATTTAGAGTGAGCCTTTTTACCTTTTAAAAGGCAAAGAGGCAGGGGGCCATGTAGTGCCTTGTAAGGTTCATATGGTAAAGCCTTAGTGCATTTATCCCCTGAGCTGGGCATCCGCCTCCTCCTCCTCCCGTTCACTGCTGGAATCTCATATGGCTGATAGTACCTGCTTCTGGTTTTGTATAAACGGGAGGGACGTGCGAGTCCCAAATCGAGCCATTTGGAGCGCAAGTTAGGCCCAGATTCCCCTTTGCTCTCTTCATTTCCTGTACACTTTTGGGCTAATTTCAGCAGCTCCTCTCCAGTTGTGAAGCCAACCAAATAGTTAGAATCCATATGGAGGATCTGATAGCCCGAAACTGTCCGCCGCATTGGTGAACATGGTGTGCTGGAGCATCGGGGCTTCTCGGCGTCGCTTTTGCCTGCAGTGCTCATCTCTGCAAGAGGCACAGGGAGGGTGGCTATGGTACTTCTGGACTCTCCATTTATGTCCACTTCCATTTTAAACACAACGCTATGCTCCTAAAAATAAAACAGAGCTTGATCAGAAAGAGAGCCTTTAACCAAGAAAAAGAGCCAAGAGAAGACCTCAGATAGCAGATTTTTTATCACCCCAAAATCACAACCAGGACTTCTCTTTACAGTCTTGTCTTATACTCAACAAAGTCTTTCAACAAAACTATCACCAACATTTGCCTTCCAGAACTATTTTGATTGCTTTTTCTTTTTTTGTGACAAATACCAAGGAATATTCTCGATATTCTTGAATATGTTAAGAACATTCTTGAACAGTATTGCAGACAAAACTGAAATATCTTTCCACCTCTGTTATTTAATCCTTTCAGTCCATCTGATATCCTGTCCATTGAAGCCATCTATATCTATTAGCAAGTCCACAGCAAATTCTCCCCTATTCAGTTGCATACATTTTCCACTTGCAATGATCTCAGTAAATAAAGCCTACCCACTGAACCACTCACCCATCTAAAAGCTACTGCTTTCAGGCGTGATCATGGACAGGACCTCATCTACTGGGTGGTGTTTCCCTCTTCCAGAAATGAAGACACCTTGCTTTAGATTCAAAGTTTGGCATCCTGACTGCTTAAACTTGACAGTCTTTATAGGCCATCCCTAATCCTCCCCCTCTAAAACACACAATCTTCTCATTCAAAGTTAACCAAACAAACCCACAAATTCTAATGCATTTCTAACCAAGGAAACATCTGACTAGTGTTTAATAAGCATGCCATATGATGCTTATAAGCACCTTAAGAATAACCCAAATCCTGATTTCTATCATATTTGTTTAGCTTTTATTTCTTTTGCAAACAAACTAGTGTGCTCTGTCATTTCTCTCCTCACAACTACTCCACATAAATTATTTGGTGCTTTTAGAGGTGCAACAACTTTCCATCACTAGTCTTTACCATCTTTAGCATAGGAAGCTAAGGCTCAAATCACAGCAAATATACGCCAGTGGGTGCCAGAACACAAAGAAGGCTTTCTTTCTCTCTTTCTTTCTCTCTTTCTCTCTTTCTTTCTCTCTTTCTCTCTTTTCCCCCTCATTTCTTTGTCTTTCATGTCTTTTACACTGTCTCTGTGCCACAGCTATTTCACAAAATGCAAAGGTCACATCTGTTTTCAAATCCCCGTTTCCTTCACTGTCAGCCTTGCGTTTGCTCTGAACTGGTCTCTACTCTAGCCAATTCATTTCACAAAAACAAACCTGCACAGTTCTGTAATTTTTAAGGGCAACAGGACTTGGAGAAGAAAGGTAAGTTAGTAAGCATACAAACTTGTAGTGGAAACAAAGGCCTAAACTTTATTCCAGGAGACTGGAGGAGTCATGTGAATGGCTTGGTGGAGTGTCACAAATGAGACTGCCTTTACAACAAGCTGCTATCAGTTTGCAGACTTTTAAATCTGCTACTTGTTGCATTCCAAAAATAGAGAGGTCAGAGATAAAGAAGCAAAGATGCAATAAGGAAGGGAAAGAAAATAGTGTGTTCCTTTCAATACGTTATTCAAACATTTGTAATTAGACTCTCCAATACAGAATGGAAAACCCCATCGAGGTCAACAACCATTCACTTGTCTTCAAGCTGAAGCCTACCTGGTTTCTTTCTGCGGATTGGGAAAGGGCAGTTTAAGTAATGCTCTCACTTTTGCTTCCCTGCTTAATCTCAACTCAACCTGCTGCCAAACAGGTTTTTGCTAAATAGGATTTGATTTGTCAGTCATTGACAAAAAGACTTCTACTATGGAGAGCTGTTATTGAAGTGCCTTTAGTTTAAAATGTCCTTTTTCAGTTCTCCTCATAACATAGTCTACTTAGGGTTTCTCAGTTTGTGTAGCATTGCTTTTGCAGATAGATGGAGCAAGCTGTTAATATTTTTTCCAAAAAAGAGACAGCAAAAGATAAACAACAACAACAAAAAAAACTGTACTAATGTCAATGTTTTACACTGAAAAAATAACTATGTAAAAACTCAAGAATGGTGCTCGTTATATTTAATTAGCTTTCTAAAATGTATTTATGTAGTCAATTCAAACTTTCAGTATAGCAGAAGCAATTGTTGCTTCCTACTTTAGCACCATATGAGACGATAAATATAGCCAAGCTTCAGCACACAAAGTTAAAGACACTCCTGACAACTTAACTTGTTAAGCAGACATTATAGTTCCTGAGCCATCAAGATCCAAGGATATTCAGAGAACAACTTAGAAAAATCTTTCCTTAAAATTTTTGGCTGCCATAGGCTTTTCATAAAGAAACCTAAATATTTAACTGTTCCTGATCTTTTAATTCCTTCTTTGTTTCTTCCAGAAATATGTACAGTCATCTTCCAGAATGATTCAACTTGCTCTGTTAAAAAGCAAAAACAATGCTAGGAAGAGCATAAATACAACTTTATAGCAAGGTTATAAATGAATTATCTCATAATACACCCATCCTCAAAACCAGCAACAACAACTTAATTGCTTGCCACAGCCATGGGTGCCCTTAAGGAAAAGCAGGGCGGAAAGAACGTCCACGTGCATGTTTTGGGCTAAAAAAGCACTGGAGTGCGAGAAAGCAGTACAAAGGCTCTTCTCAAGAACCAGCTTTTAAAATTAGTTCTAGTTTGAAAAATGCATGTGTGCCCTGCTAGCTAAAAGCTATCCAATTTGGAAAAAAAGCAGGAAGGCAGGGAGCAAGAGGTTCTCGTGGAACAGTGACTCCCTTGCTGGTCGAGAACAGAACAAGAGAAATAGGGGGGGAGGGAAAAAAGCCCGAAGTCAGCAACGCTCCAGCTTAGTGCTTCAATGTGAAAGAGAAGAATCTCCACTGCTGTACCCCAATGCAAGCCCTAAAAACCCAAGCCTAGGGGGAATCCAACAGACACTTGACAAGAACGGTAGCAGCAGGAACCAAATTGCAGGATTTGGTGCCATAAGCATCAGAAGCTAAAGGGAAGAGCACTGCAAGTTGCTGAAAGGAATGACTGGCCAGCTCCGGAGGCACAGGTCCAGGACACAGCGTGCTCGACTGCTTTCCCAAGTCTTTTAATGAGACTTACTCAAGCTGCCATATGGTTTCAATATGCCTTATTTCCTTATCTGGTAAAAAAGACAAAGTGACACTGTTCAGAAGGTTCCTATTAAAAAAAAAAATCTTTTGAGAGAGTCACAGTATCTGTGAATGTAGGTACTAGTAGCTACAAATGCACTGCTAAAGCTTTTAGGCTCATTTTTTTTAGGTCACTTCTTTGCTTGTAAGACATTAGCCAACTCCAGTAAGTTCATTGCTGTATGCTTGTCTAAGCACATGTCAGCAATTCCAGCATCAATTTTACCACTGGGGAAAAAAAAATAATCAGAACTTCAATTAAAAGGGATTATTTCCTCAGATCATAGTCGCTTTTCCTTCTGGCTTCTCAAGAGAATGACAACACAGTGATGCCAATTCAACGTAATTGATAATTAAGGTTTTACTACAGAATCAAAACAAGGAGATGATGACGAGATGGCACATGTTTTTCTTTGCTGCTTCTTCATATATTTATGTACGGAAAAATACTGAAAGTAGAAGTTAGCAAGAGGAGGATTCACTTGACCAATATACATACACTGGTGCTAAACACACTTCCAGAATGCTTCATTTCATTAAGATTTTACAAGATTTTAATTATTTTCTTTAAACTACAAAGGGGTCTTTGCATATAATCTGACCTAATCCAACCAAATATCGAGAAAGCCACCTAAACCACTGAGAAAAGGAATAATGAACACAAAGACAAGGTTAACTATTACAAATTACTAATACATTAAAAAATGCACTAATATGCTTAAGATAGAGCTTTGAGGGTAAATCCAAAACCCCCTACATCCTATATATAGCAAAGCTTTCTATTTTTGAACATTTTGCAAAGGTGACAGATAGCATGCCAAGAAAGTGTGTTACACATGAAAAACAGAAGCATAGTACATATTAACACCAGGAGATGCTGGTGAATGTACTGTAAATCATTTGCTGACTTGGATTGGAGCCCTGAAATTATGTCATGTGCTCTGATGACACATAATGACATTTAGAGATTCATGGTTTTTTGGCTGGTAATTTGTTACTTTCTCTCTTCCTCAAAAAGAGGACAAGCAGCTCTAAAGTAGCAAGTTTAATTGTGTGGTTACTCAATATTTAGACAAAGAAAATACAAAGAGAATAGAAGTTGGGTTTCACTTAACACACCTATGCTTTCAGAAGAGTCTGTGTTACTTCAAAACCACCAAAACAGCTTGTTCTTCACAAGTTCGTATTTCCAATGTTATTAATCTTCTCAACCAGAACATGAAGTGATTTGAGAACAAACCTTTATTTCTATGAAAAGCATTTCATTTCTGTGTATCCAGATACAAATTGATATTTTTCATCTAGTTTGTTTGGTTGGTTTTCTGGACAGAAACTGGCAGGTACCCTTACCATTCCTTAAGAATGACAAAGACACCTCTCTCTCTCTCTATCTCTGATAAATTTCTTTAATTGCAAAGAGCAGGTGGCTAAATGGTAAGGCGGCTTTAGAGTTGGCTCACATCAATTCTGTACCAGGGTGGAACACGTAAGATTAGACACAGTGAATCAAGCAGGACCAGTTTTGACAATTCCCCTTCTCTGATCTTCCATTACTTCTTAATTTATAAGACACACTTAGAAGATATGATTCTTGTCTATCAAGCGTTAGGGGAGAATACAGGAAGCCACTCAGCCCATGTAATTATAAGAGGACTGTGACAAGCAAAGTTAACACATTTTATTTCCAATCTGCAATAAATACATACATATACATACATGCACACTGAAAAAAATAGCTTGAAAGGAGAAAGTCAAGTTAAAGCTGAGCTATCTAAGAGTATACACAAAAGTGCCACATTTCAGTTTATAGAGCAGGGGCTGCCAGACCTTGAGCTATTTGCAGCTTGCAGACTCTTCCCACACAGGCTGGTGATGCTGCTGCAAGCACTGCCAACCCCACATCACAAGCATGGGGACGAGGACTGCTCTCCAACT